AGTCATGTATTTAACCAATCAATATGTATTCATTGAATGTAAATAATTCGTTTCACTAATGTTGCATTTGGCGTTTTTTCTTACCCAAATACACTTGCTTTTATTAGTTTAATTTACTGTGCATGAAATTACATATTATACATTCAATTCCAGTTTTTGAATTTGGCAATTGTGAGTTTGCTCATTAATTTGAACGACATCGCATGCCACCTAGGTAACCTGATATTTGACACATGAAGTAATATAATGGGTGTCTCACCATCATCAGTTTTTGATGAGCAGGTGTGCCGGGTGCAGGGTTCTGCCCACGGTGGGCGGCGGTGGGCGGGTGTGCCCGGTACTATATATCTCCGCCCGGTACTAATTTTTGATATTTAAAAAAAAAGAGTCNAGTCGATGACTGTCAGATCTCCAGTGACATCTTTAACCGTATGTGCACTGATTTCACCACATTTCTCACCATCCGAAGTGCGAAGAATTTCGACCGACGTGCACGTTGTGTCGTATACTCTCCTTGCTCCACCCATGACAGCCACGTTTAGGTTACAAGGTTTTCCGGTGAGGTTTAGCTGGGCCGCAACCGCTTCATTGATATAGCTATCCGTAGATCCTTCATCAAGTAAGGCATTTACCCTCAGCTGCCGAGCCCCGTTTTTTAAGATTACTGGAATTGTACGTAACGCAATAACGTTCCCCGACGATGCGGTATGAGTTGATGACACAGTGTGTGTACGAGATTGCGCTGGGTTATTGTAGGAACTACCTCTCTGCCACTCTGCCGCACTCGGGTTTAGACGGCCGACAGCTGAGTTGTTTTCACTTCCATGCAGCAGACTATTATGGGTTTTTCCGCAGCCACTGACACCACAAACACGGCTATTCCGACATACCGCTCCACGATGGTTTATGCCTAAGCAACGAAAGCACAAGCGATTCTGTTTTGCTGCATTCCACCGCTGTGCAACAGTCATGCCTTTGAATTGCTGGCAAACATATATGCGGTGATGTTCGCCACAACAGCCGCATATGATTGGCTCGGCCTTATTCCAATCGGCGCGCGTTACAAACGATTTTCCTCTGGCAGACGATGGCGGACCCGTTTGTCGTGGAGTACTATTCGATTGTCCCTCTTCGATAGACTCACTGCGAATACGCAGTTCCTCCGATATCCATTTACGCAGTGAGTGTAGGTTCTCAGGGCGTCCTTCGATACTGAGCCACCGTTTGTAGTGTGCAATCTGAGACGGCTGGAATTTCGATTTTGATACGCAATAGAACATACTGTCATTCTCTAGCTCCTCAGTGCGACCACTTTCTGCGAGGGCCACTATCGCCAGCTCTAACTTGTTTTGGAATGCATCCAGTGCCTGTGTATCTCCTTGTCTGACCATGTGGAACTGTCGTATACCGTTAAGCTGGGCGAGAAGTATTCGCCGTTCCCCCCCGTATCTCTCTTCCAGTCGACGTTTAGCTGCTTCATATCCTGCTTCAGAGGCAGGAAACCCCTCGATGGTTTTGCTCGCATCACCTCCCAGGTATTGACGAAGTTGTAACATCTTAAAACTAGGTCCACAGCTTGCCTTGTCAACACATTGATAAAAGGCATCTCTGAATATTGGATAGTCCTGTTTATCTCCTCTAAATGTTGGAATAGGTACGCGCTTCAGGTTGTGATGCATGTCGCTATCAATACTGTACTTTGCTTCTGTTTTGACTTCTGCCGCTCTTAACTCAGACTCGCCACCTTCAGCTTTCTGCTCGTCACGAGTACGACTGTTCCGTTTCTTTACATTTTCACTGATGTACTCCGTGGCCAAACGTAGGGCTTTTGCAGTGTCAACATCTGCTTGGATGGCATCTGCCTGCGTTGCGTATTCTGTTTCGTTCTCATGCGTCAACAGCTTCTAAATCGGACAGGACTGACAGAATCCCGTTTGTACGCTGAGAATCTGGTCCATCATTTCCTGCATTTCATCTATTTTTTCTTCTTGACTTAAAAGTTTTAAGCAACCTGTGTCCTGGTTCTAGTTAACTATGGTCTTCAATCTCCTCCGTTCCTTCTTCAGCTCAACTTTTTGCTCCATTCTCTTTTCGTTATGGAGTTATGGCACTCGTGTTCTCCACTCTGCACTGCTATGTTCGCCTGGGGAGTATCCGGCTCGAAGCGACTTGTGGAGTGAATGCCCGGTAGAACGATACGATAAGAAGACGGACATAGTGTGTAGTAAAGGACTGTATACCTATTTAATCGAAACCCTCTGTCGACGGTTGTAACTCGATACACGACTCGAAAAGACACTGCCAACGCCCGCTGACACGTATGCACTGCCAACGCCCGCCTGACACGTAGCACTGCACGCCCGCTGACACGTATGCACTCACGAAACTCCCCGCGTGACTCTATGAAGCACTCCCCGCGCTCCCTGTCGCGCCCTCTTCAGATAAGTTTATCGCTATTCGAATATATACAAGTTATAAACGCAAACTCTTCGAACAGTTCCTGAGTTAATCGTTAACCGTAGCCAAATGTTGACGGACGGACGGACGTACGACGGACGACGACCCATGGCAATAGCTCAGCTTGACGATGTCAAGGTGAGCTAATAAATAATGATAATAGAAAATAACTTGATTGACTTTGATTGACTTGTTAAGTACTTTTTCAAGCCAAGTTCATTTGTAGCACAGCATTGCATTAATTTTTTATAACTTGTGTTTTTGGGACATTGTCTAAGCATTACAGAAGGATGTTTTAAGAAATGCTGACCTTTTAATTCTTCAGAATCAAATCCTTGAAATTCTTCGTCACCTTCCACTTTATCATTTTGGCTCTGCAAAGTACATTTTAACTGCAGAAATATTTATAAACTATTTGTTAATTAAATGTAACATATCGTCCATATATTATCGATATTTTCCATTAGAGGTCCTATGGTTTATCAATATTAACTTGACACATACTTCTAAAATGTTTGCTAAATTACCTCTGCCATGCTGCCATTTGGAGGGGACCTTGGCACAACTTGCAGGTGCATCTTACGAATACCTACAGCACAAGAGCAAGTGTGTGTCATATATATATATTATCTGGGGTGGAAGAAGTATCAATTATACAAAGGATTAGACGAGCATAATGCAGTATAATATTAACACATGCACATGTGAACTACTGGTTGTAGTCTATTTTTATAAATAAAAGACAATTTACATTAAATATACCAGAATAGTTTATCCTGCTTATGAATTTAGTTAATATACAATACATTACATTGTATATTGCCCATTTTTAGAAATGAAATGACGAAAGTGTAGCGTCAAGAAACATTTCAAAGGACCGAGTGGTTACTAACGTCTTGGCCGGAGAATTCGTTCATTGATAATTTCTTTGCTTGGCGACCATTCTTCGTCACTTTCTCCCTTCTTCCTTTTTTTCTTTTTAGTTACACATCTCTTCGTCAATTCTGGCTTCGCCACCTTTAATCCTAATGTCCCAACAGGGATTTTGTTTACAGTTTAGGAAGAAAAGGATAAATAAAGAAATTATTGACCACACTTAGTAAATTTGGGGAAAATATTGCCAACAAATTCCTCAATTGATATTTTCAAATGGTAACACTGCATGAGTTTTAAGTTTATATTCCTGTGGTATACACAATAACACATCAGTGTATAATAATAACGTATTATCAGTGTGTTACTGCGTGTATGAGCACTAGGCCCCTACCTACTTTACAATCCTGATGAAGTATGTATATTGTAATGATCATACAATGCGGTTTGTTTTGTCATTGTTTAAAACATTGATTAATTAATTGCCTATATTTATATATACTGTATCTATATCTACAATTCTTCTATATTCTATAAATACTTTAAATAGTAAATTCGTTTAAAAGTAAATTATATTACCGTTACCCACCTAGCGACAGCATCGTTTCATAGTTTTTCTTCAAGTTTTTTAACCTCTCCCTCTCGTAGTCACAGATGCCATCAAGCTGGTCTGGTTGTGAATACTCATCACTATCAATCTCTTTCGCGGAGTCTGCGTCGGTGTCTCCCAATAACTTCATGGTGTCTGCGTTCATTGTCGATTATGCTCTAAGCTGGAAAATAAAAAAATGCTTTCACAGCTAGGCCTATCTTAACGGCCTCTGGCTCTAGTAGTAGTACTGCTAGTAAGCTATATATAGTTGTATACTATTACTAAGTTCACTTGACTTACCTAGTAACAAAAAACAATCTGATGCAAAAATGACACAGAATGATGATATAATCTGTCTAATCGTGATAAATCGTATCAGTAAATCGTCTAATCGTAACAGTAAATATGGCGCCTGGGACGTCGATAGAAAGTGCAGCAGCAGACGAATTTTCCCGCCAAAGTAAAACTACAGAAAACGTAGACTGGTACTACCTCCCACCTCGATTACTCGATGGGTGGTTTTACCCTCTGGATGGATTACTCTCTCTTAAGCCGATAGGTGGGACCGGGTACCAGTCTACAGAAAACGGTCGCAGGTCCCGTCATCTTCTGGTAAATGTTAAAATAATCGAATCAACCACTCGTGCTCGTCTTTCCACTGATCTCATTAT